TGCCGGCAGATTTCAGCATTTTAAGTTAAATTAGGCGTTAATAAACTGTTTCAGAGGAGTGATCATAGCGCTCTGCATCATCAGTGCTGTGTCTGTCTCCCTGCCAGCTCCCAGATCGGCAACGAGCTGCTCCTGCTGCTCTAGACGTGCTGCAGGACCTTTTGCTGCACCTTGATGCACGTCAACCATTGACTTTGCATGTAAACTAGCTGCTTTTTCAGCCTCTGCTGCTTTAGGTGCGAACCTATCATAACAGTGGCTAGCTTCCAGCCATGGCGTCCTGCACGAGCACTGGGGGGGTCGATTCGTTCACGTATCAGATTACGATGGAGGGACAAGCAGACGACCATGATTGACGTGTCAGGAACCAATAGCGTAAAACGGACCGTGTTTTGTGATTGGTGGACGTCACTCATTGATTTCACACTGCAGCTGGGACCATTTATTTTAGTTTAACTTCCAGACCTTCTACTTCACTGCTTGCGTGGTAAAAAATGTGTCAGAAAAGATCTGCTACTGCACCTTTAAGAAGAAGAATCATAAAAGAAAAGGTCGGAAATTAGCTCCCTAACAGGAGTTCTATTTGCAATAAATGGTTGGAACGTCTTGATTGAAAAGGAATTCTTGCTAATTCAGCTTAACTGGGCATTGAAACTAGGAACTGAAAAGAAAATATTTTATTATTATATAACATTTATTGATATTTTAAAGGTAAGAACTGATTGCGATCGGTTATTGAGTCTTGATGCCCAACCCTAGTCAAGAACATGTCTGTCCTAGAGTCTTTTTCCAGTAGAGCCTGCCATGTATGATAGACTTTCAAAACTGTGTTGAAAGTCCGATAAAATCACAAGTTTTAGTAAAAAAATATTTAGAAACTTGTTTTAATAGAAATGTAAGTCTTTGTCTTTGAGGGATAAATAATTTACGTATGCTGCTAAATATATTGCAGCAGGAGTATGTTGTTCTTTATAAAAATTGTCATTATTTTTTGAATGAAATTGCAATTTTATTTCCATTTTCCTTTGCACCCCAGGCTTTCAGTTTTTGCTCAGAGTCCCTTGTTGCAGAACTTTACTGTAATCTTTGTGTGAAAAAGTGCTTAGTTCTACTTGAATGCATGGATCTGCACGCTAGCTGCATCTCTCTCTACCTTTCTGTGTGACGACAAACCCCCCTTCAAGCATTTTACCGCCACTTAAAGGCCTGGAGTGAGAAATTATATGTACATCTTACTGATGCTTAAAACAGTGTAATTAAAAATCTCTGCCTCTGCAATTTAAAAATTGTGTTTTGGTAAATTGCAATTTTAATGCAAATGCAATTAATTGTCCTGCCCTTATTTTAACCAGGGGTCGTTTTTTTCTTTGAAAGAGGGAATGTCAGTTTTCAATTCTAAACCATAGTTTCAGACATATGGAGAATAAAGAATTATGACATCTGGAAAATTATCAGTACTAACCAAATATTATTGTAGTTCCTCATTATACTTGTGTTTTAAGTCAGCTAAATTAAGTTTAGTTCTGTCATCTAAATATCATTATTGTTTTCCAATAACTAGTGGTTATCTTCACTGTGCCATATAGGTTGTGTTTTTTCACTGGGGCGTAAATAAATATGCACATCAGCCTTGTTAAATTCAACTGGAACATAACTTCCCTAAATTACACTACTTCCTGAATTTACATATGTGAAGGATGTAGTAAGCTATTAGAGTGCAACCCTCTGATTACTTCAACCTTTTACTTGATTACTTGTAACCCTTGATTAGGTTGTTGGTCCATCACAGGGTAATACAGACGCAACAACTATACATACAACATTTAATCTGTTTTAGGATTGTAGAAGGAAGCCAGGGTAGGAGCAGCCACACATAAACGGGACGCAGATGCAGAAAATTCCAGGATTTAGGATTAGAAATCCAGAACCTCTTTGCATATTATTCCATCCCTCAAACATTAGGAAGTTCACTGAGCAACTGAAACTAAATGTTTCAGATATTTATTCTATGTTTTCCTAAGTTTAATAAAAAAAAAAATAATGTCTTTGACATTAACTTCTATGTACATATGACTATAACAACATTTATTTCTTTGGACATCATTTGTGGGGCCTGATTTGGTAAGTCATTGCATTCATGTAATACAGTTTTTTTCATTCAATATTAAGAATTAAGAGCCTAATTTCTAGTAGGACTAGCCTAAAGGGTAATCTTTCACCATATTAAAAGATAAAGCAATGATATTTTTAACATGGAAAAAGAGTAAAATCTGAGTAACAACAGGAGGTAAATCACATAAAACAGTCAACAAATAAAAAAAATAAATATACGATAGACAGTTCTTTAACAGGTTTGACCCTTTAGAAATATAGAAAATTTAAATTGAATAAAATTAGCATTAAATATTCTTTAAAACTGCCCAACCTTTGAGATGCTCTCCCTCAGGCTGGGGGATCTCTGCCGGCGGGTGGTGGTGGTTGCCATGGTGGTAGTGGTTTCCATAATGGTGGTGGACATGTCGGACACAGCAAGCGGCGTCACAGAGGTGGTGTCCGTAGTCAGTGCCGATAGCGAGTCTCCTACCAAGCGCAGGTTCCCCTCCACCTGAACACTCGGATCATTTTCTGCTGCCAGTTTGAGCACCTGAAGACCGTTGTAATAAAGCCCAGAGATCTGACCTTGGAAGGGCTGACCCTTGTCATAGCCGCCAATTTTAATAGCAGCCTGGCTGTTAAAGATGGTGAGCTGTCTCCCTGATGTTAAATTGGGACATGGATAAAGAACAGGCAGGAAAAAAGAAAGCAGACATGACAAAGTCAAACAGCAGTTTTTTTTATAGGTCAAGTATTTGAACCAGATGAGCTTCAAGGATTATAAACATGTTAAAGATTTAAACAGGTTTGTTTAGATATTAACTTTAAGAGGGATATTTATAACTTTGATTTGAAATTTGGTACAAGATGATTTAATTTTGTTTATGTGTCATTTTAGACATGTTGTACATTTTTGAACATTTTCTTACTTAGTGGAAAAAAGGACTAGTTTCATTATTATTCTCTCAGCTTTAGATGATGATGGATACAGTGCTGTGAAAAAGTATTTGCCCCATTAGGGATTTCTTTAGTTTTTGCTCTGTTCTTGTTAAACCTAAATTAATTATTATATAATTATATAATTATTATATAATTTTCTTTAACGCCTTTTTATTAATGAAAATATAAATATATATCAAAGCGACCTGACCCTAGTTGAGAAAGTAGGGTAACCACATCGATCAAGTAATCGCTGGCGACTATTTGTTACTTTCATGAGTTTCGGTTTATTCTTGTTTGAAGAACTGTTTTAATTCACCCACAGTGGAGGGCTCTTGAACATGTATTGTTTTTTTAAGGTCATACCTCAAGATCTCTTCAGTTTTATGACTGGGACAGTTGCATAATCGAGGTTCTTACCCAGAAGGCCATTAAGTAGCTAGATATTCTCCATAATCTTCTAATAGAGAACATTAATGGTCGTTAATTCTTGCAAGTCTTTGAATCCCTTATAAAATAAAGAAGTCCCAGACCATCATACTATCTCCACCAAATGTGACGGTATAACCCTCTGTTTCTGAAATGCTGTGTTGGTTTTACACCTGGTGTAATGTTCGTTCCAAAAGGTCCCACCTTTGTCCTGTCAGTCCAGATAATATTTTCCAAAAAGGTTTGGGATCATTTAGATTTTTTTTGGCGGAATGTGAGACAGGCTCTCTCCCCTTTATGGTTAGTAGTAGTTTTCAGCTTGGAGCGATCCCATGGATGCCCCCTTTGCAATGTCAAGACCTGTGAGGCTCTACATGCTCTGGATTTATTTTGATATAAGCTACAGGAGTAATTTAGAGTAAGTTTTCCACTCTACCACGAATTCTCATATTTTGGAAAAACTAATTTACTGGAGTTCCCAAGCTTTCAAAATGTCAGTGCAACTCATTTTAGATTGACAGACATCAAAAGCTTTGTTTCTCACTTTCTCTTGCAGGTTTTTAGATCAGGGCATATTCTGCTTTTTGATAATAGTCTAGATAGCCTCTTGTTTCTGGACTGTTCTATCCCAGTGATTTCTTGAGTCTTCACTTATATATATGAACACTTGATTAATTCTAAATTTAAAACAGGGAGTGATCACTTTTTCATGTTAAGCCAGTCGGTTAGGACAGTTTGTTTTCTTAAGAAATTAAATATTTCTGTCATGGTCTAGGTTCTGTTGTTCTTTACTTTGCTCCTTGTTTTCTAGTTTTATTGGTTTAATTCCAGTTTTGTGGTAATTTCTAGATTTATGTTAGTTCTCATGTTTTTCTTTTGTCCTCTATTGCCCTCTTGTGTGTGTATGTTCCTTTCCCCTTGGCTCCCTCATTGTCTCCTCTCACACCTGCTCCTTGTCTGCTCGTTAGCCCTGCCTTTGTCTCTCTCTGCTATATATTCTCTCCCTCTGCTCTCACTCTTTGTTGGTTCCTTGTCTTTGCTGTCTTCCCATGCTGTGGTCTACGTTCCTCGTCTCTCCCCGGCTTCTCGTGTTTGGTTTTCCCTTGATGTCTCCATGGTTCTGGTCTGCGTTTCATTATTAGTTGGATTTTTGGTTTCCTGCCTTTGTTAAACAGTTTCCTTTAATTAAATCCACAAGAAATCTCCTCAGCCTCTCTGCCTCTGCATTTGGGTCCTCCAAACCACAACCAAACCCTGACAATTTCCTGAATTTATTTATCTGTTTATAATCTGCATGTTATTAAGGTTAGTTTCATAATCTTAAACAGCTTAGACTGACATATGAGCAAACACTGAAGAATATTTAAAGGAGGCAAATACTTCATTACAGCACAGTTTTTTTTTTTTCTCCAAGCTTTTAAGAATTTAAATCTCCCGTCTGTTAAGTTTCTTACAACATGAAGCTGAGTACTTATCCTCCCACTGACCCTTTCAGCCATTAGGTCTTTGAAACATGCTTTGCAAAGGCTTTTCCACACATCCCGCTGTGCCCCCCCCATGAGAGGGGCAACGATACCCCACCGCAACATTGTCAGCAGCCTCACTGATAAGCAGTGTTACATCACAGGACTGCAGTAATGGGCCTAACTCAGGAGAATACTTATTAGGAAAGCTAATGGCTGCAAACACTGAACTGCTGTATTTAAACAGCCTGTCAGGGCCGCTGTGTTGTGATAAAATATACTTAGCGTGGGAGGTTGGTGTGACTGCGGAACAACAGGAGGAAATACAAGGTCACAGGGAAAAAGTAAAGGAAGAGCACTTTCAACGGTCTGAACACATCCAGAAGTTAGGGTTTAAAATGTTTAGGTGTTATGAAAGACATTTAGATCAGAGGTTAGTTCCACTGGGGTTACTGAAAAGGTTATACAACATTTTAATGACGTTTTATGTTGAATAATTAGACACAGCATCTATTTATACACACTGGTTAACGGGGATGAAAGGGAGGTTAGACAAGGGTTATGAGATCGATTAATTTATTTTAAAAATGTTTAAGGTGCAACATCTCCACAAGGTGAAAGGATCTAAAATAAATATAAAGGCTGATATTATTGTAAGCTTTATATTGTACCTAATTTCAATGGATTCGTGGCCATGCAATTGTGCTGCCAATAGAGGGCCGAATTAGAATGGCAACATAAATAAAACTAGCTGGATCCTTGTTAGCCTTGTGTTCTGGCGCTGCACCTCTTATGGGGGAAAGATTATTTGGTAGTTATTTCTAGGGTTAATTCATCTAATAATTTTTACCTTTATCGTTTATCCACTCGTCAACTACCCGACCAAGTCTGTACGGGATTCTTTGTCTAGCAATAGCCAGTCGTTCATTATCATAGTGTCCTTCAAAGAATTTGGAGAGACAGGTTAAAGGTTAAAGTCTGCATGCTGAAAGATCACATGGTTAGCAACAACGTCCTTACGACTAACAGGATGAACAATTTGGCAATTTTCCATCCAGCTGTGAGTTAAAACAATGTTATTCTTAACTTAGAGCTATCTAGTTATTGCGAATTACATTCTTAAAATGCTAATTAGAGAAATGTTTAGGCTATTTATAATTCACTACACTAGTTAGTGTGATTTAGCTATTTATTTAAGCAAAGCATAATCTTACATCAGAGATCAATTACAGCAAAATCATTTTATGCAAATAGAGGTTAATTTAGGCAGACACAAGAAATGCAAAACATCTTAATGACTTCAAGACAGTCAGAAATCCCCCATGCAATTAGGCAGTAGATTGCACCCCAGTCAGTATAGAGAGCTAAAGTCTCAGGCCTCTTTTGGTGACGAATAAATTTAAATAAATGCAGAATTACCAGAAACATTCAATGATTTGGATTGTTTTATTACTTAATAATTGAAAACAATTACAGTCAAGTTAAAATGGAAGGCTTAAGTTACCAGGCAATCGTGAAGAAAAAAAATGCAAAAAGCAATAGTTCCAACTCACTCATTTTCTTAAATTTGGGGTAAATAAAACTGGATTTCTGAATCTGAATTCTTGGTATAAGATCAGATTCTCTAACAAGAAATTCCTAAATGATCAATATAGGTATTCATCTCTCCTGATGCCAGTTGTTATTGTGGTATAACTGACGAATCAGCAAATCATCTGATATTTCACTGCACTTATTTTCTTCATAATAAAACAAAAAATGTGAATCGTTTTTGTAACATACATTTTTTTTTTTTGTTCAGAAATGTACTGATGTGGGGAATAACTGCACAAAAAAGTGGCAGAAAGACTATTGTTTAAAATTCACAATGTTCAAAGCAAATTTTAGGTCTGTAAAGCAAGTCTGGACATGATTAACTGAAAGCATATAAAAGTCTTTTAAACAGCAAATTAAACAAAAAGAATGAACCAAATGAGAGCAGGATGCTAGTGTTAGCATTAGACTGAATCGATCTGCATTAAAACACCATGAGCTGTGAGGTTCTTCTTAATCACATTGTGCTGATCTTAAATAAGTAGTGGAACGGTATCTGTATCAATACCTATTGTGAACTAACAGCCTATTATAAGGCAAAGGAAGACATCTTTGGAAGTAAATTGTTTACAATTAAATAAATTGCTTGTTTTTCAAAGATATTTAAAACTGCAATAAATCTTCAACCTTTGGGATATGTCAGTTTTTCATATACATATTGAAACAGAAGTTGTCATCTCAGATCAGTAGTGTCCAAGGTTAGATTTCAACAGTTAGTCCTAGGATTTGTTTAAATGTTTTCTTAGCTCAACAAACAGGAATCCAACAAATGGTTCATTAGTAGAGCTATACAGAACTGATGAGAAGCTTTAGTGCTAACTTAATAATACTGATTTACTAGGATGGATGTTATGGATGCTGGTAAAGCATCGATCATAAGCTATTACCATGTTTAGAACTTTATTTTTATACCATCATCAAACTGAATCACCTTTCTCCACCTTTGTTTGGCAATTGCAGTTTATTTAAAACATCCTCTGACCTCATCTGCCAATAAAACCTAATAAGATTTGATTTTAGGTTCTTTAAAACCCTAGTCTTAACATGTCTGCATGCTAAGGCTGTGTAATATTATAAATCTTGGTTGAGCTTTATATTAAAAATACTGTGAGCTTTCTGTTGAGACTAGGGATGTATATCTAAGCCCCTGTTAATACCATGCAATACAAATCACTCCTGTTCACCATTTAATGCAATTGAAAAATGATTTCATGAAAATATCTCTTCATAAGAACATTTAGTATATGTGATCATTTGTTATAGTTGGTTGGGCTTTGAGAATGTATTAGCTGAACCCATGAGGTTTCAATAGAGCAAAGCAATACATGTAAAAAAAAAAAAGAACACATTTCAAATGTATTCATTTGAATTTTACTCTAAATCTTTTCTCAATTATGCCTATAGAAGCACAGCTGCTGCTGGAGATGTGGCACTTCAACATCAGAGAAGATGAATGCAAGGCAATCTATTTCCAGGACTTTTCATGATCTACGGAAAAGACAGTTTTGCAAAAGAAAAACAGCCAGAATATTGCATATTATAAAATAAATCATTGCAGTAACTGTGGATGCTGCTAATAAACGAACAACCTAATCAATATAGAGTTAATACACTGGCTGTGTTTAACAATACGCTTGAAAGCAAAGTATGATTTTAATGTGTGTAATGTAAATACTAGGAGGTATAAAATACCACATTATTCACAATTAGAATCATCTGCAACACTGAACTGAAAGAACGTTGATAGGGAAAAGCATGAGGAACAGAAGTGACCAATATTACTCAGCTTAAATAAAAATGAAAAGTAAAAAGTTTCTGGATTCCTGAGTCAATATCTGTTATTTAGAACCTATACTGTCTCTGATTAGCGCAAACACACAGCTACATAGAGCATCAGCTACAGCAGCAAACAGATGCATCTGCAGATTTCACGCCAATCAAAAACCAAGGGAGCTACTGTTCTGACTCAGATGATGCCTATATCAAGATTTCAAAATATAATATTCATTTTTCTTGAATTATTTCTTTCTGCACATGGAGTGGACTTCGATGCACTAAAGAATTAAAGAAATGTTACCAGACATTTTAAATGCATTAATTAAACAGACATTGGCAGAACTCTTTAATTTATAATTGGGCTATTATCATTAAGCTTATTTAAATGTGTTCATGCTTTGGTAGGCTTTGAGATTGAAGATACAGCTAACTTAACTTCTTTTGATTGACCATATAATTCAGCTGTCTGAAATATTTTCAATATTGCCCATAGAGGTAAGGTAGTGTACCCTACCTTCATCTCTGTAAACTAGCATCCCATGTAAGCCTGTTTTCCACAGCCAATCCTACATCCAAATTTTCCCATTTTAAATTTGATTCAAAGTCAGGCTATTTTATACACTATGTGTATACAAAATGACAATAAAGTTTGTCAGGCAGCACAGTTAGGCGTCTTACTCTTATATGGTGAACACTGATAAAATTTTTTTTTTTTTTTTTTGGCCCATTAACTGTCTGCCTGCCTCTTGTCCTGCTTTTAGGTTGGAAACAAATGATAAAACGTATTGAATAAGTTGTACATTATTAATAGCATGATAGTTTTACATGAACAAGAGATTAAGTATGAAATATGAAAATATGCTGTAATAATTCCAACATAAATCCTATGTGTAATTTTTTTTTCTGAACAGCCAATGGACCTTAGAAATAAGGTCCGTTTTATGTGTGCCTCTACTGCAGAGATCTTGGCTACAGATGGACCAAATACATTTCAGATTTTGAAAAAAGAAGAGGGAGCAAGAGACCGGACTTTAGCTCTCTATGTAACACATGCAAGCACAAAACTTAAAAAAAAGACATCTACAAGAAGAATTATGTTATAAAAGGTTAATTCTTAGAAAAATACAAGCTTAAAGTTACCAGAATGTGAGGCATATGAATGTGTTTGTTTCATTTAAATTCAACAGTAAGATAGTAATATATCAAAATAAGCCAAACAGGTTGTGGATCTTGGAGTGGCATAAGACACACCTTTGTTTCTGCTGTTTTTTTTTTTTTATCATTACTTCATGTTTTCCAATTCATAGCGAGCAGTGGCCTATAATGCTTTATAAAAGTCATAATTATCACCTACAGCACATGTAAAAAAAAATCTGTAAGTAGCAGAGCAATCCTCTTGACTGCTCTGGTGTTCTTAACTAATTGCCTGTCTGCAAATGTTTCAAAACCACTGATTACAGAGTGTCCGTCTATATTACACAATTCAGATTTCTGCACAACTGTAAAAAAAAATGTGTGCATCATATGTGTGCTTCGATCACCAGCTGGAGGCAGAGAGGGGTCTTGCTTTCCTGTCGCTCTGCCAGCTTGTGCACCTGTTCTGAATGATGTTAATTACTTGACTGGTTCAGAGCAGGTTAAAGCTCAGGCAGCCATGATCACATAATCTATGAGTCTTTTTATACCATTTTGAGCTCCATGTGTAGTTCACATTTATGAAGGTTAGAGATTTTTCTCATTATGTGTACTGGTGCTGTTTTCTGATTGCATCCTCGCTTTACAATTTAGTAAACACTTCTCATCCAATGACACTAACAGTAAAATAATCCTGGTAGTTTCTGCTACTATGACAAGAAGCCTTATCCAGTTATTTGATCAAATTATTCTTAATCTTAGAATTTAGTTAGTAAATGTAATGTCAGGCTTTTCTGGTTTAAAAAAAAACAATCAAAAATTCAAGGTGGTCTGCAGCAAATCAAACAACACCCAAATAAAATGGATGTGTTTACTCGAAAATTTGACCCTTTAATTGTGTTTGTTTGTCTGTTTGTGTGTGACGATAAAATTGCCCAATAAATAAAAATTACATTTCCCACAGACAGACTATTAGCAGTCCCTGGATGCTTAGTAACAAAAATCCATGCTCTTCCTCATCTGATAATCTCACAGTTTGCTCAACATGCCGCCTCACTACACTTACCTGGTGGGTACCGTTCAATGACTGGATGGTTGTCCACCTGGAGAGTGGCATTGCCACCACTGCGTGTGAAGCGCACAACGTGGTACTTTCCATCATTTACAATGGCAGCTGGCTCTTCAATGGAGATGTCATCTGTTCCCACATTAAAGATGACACCCACTTTTCCTTGATCCTGCAGGCGAAAAAAGTAGGAAGAAAGGTAATGGATGAAGCAACGGCCTAAAGAGTGATTAATGTAGCGACCTTGCATGAGACTGAGGAGAAAGACTTACATTAGTACAATAAATAAGTGTATTGGTCCGTGTCTTCAAATGGCATGTTTTTGGCTGCTAATGCCATTTTCTATGGGGCCAAAATTGTTGCTTTATTATTTGCAAATGTGTGTGGAGAGTTGTGTATCTGTATCTCAATTTGTGTGTGTGCAGTGGGATTTGAAAATGTGTAAATGAAACTTTAAATGTGTGAGGAAATTTGTGTGTCTGCAAAACAATCTGCAAATGTGTAAAAATCTACTGTGTGTGTAATCTGGTTTCCAAATGTTTAAAAAAATCCACAAATCTTTATTCAGATTTACAACTATGTATTGAGATTTGTAAATGTGTAAAAAATCCACTAAACTGTATTCAAATCTACAAATGTGTACTGAGATTTACAAATCTGTATTCAGATTTACAAATCTGTAGTTTTTTGGCCCCATAATTTGCCATTTAATTTGACCACTTGTTACTGAGATGTCCTTTGTCTTTGGAGTCTTTGGATGGACTCCTGATCTGCACAGGATGTAGTTGGGAACCCAAAAAAGCACTGATAATTGGTAAAAGTAAGCCAAGACCTTTAGCGCCTATGAGGAACTAAATAATGAAATAGATTGAGCATTAGTACTTTGAAACCCGATGCCTTGTTGCTCAGCCAAAAGAAGTGGATTTCTTAGTTTAATTTGAGAATATATTTCTGTGCCATGTGAGATTGTTTAAGTATGCGTGAGGGGAGACATAATGTAATGGTCAACTGACAGGCAGATCTGAAATCATTTCCAACCCTCATCTATGCTTATGACCTTGGTGTAATGAGATTTCAAATATAGGCAGCTGAAAGTATTTCCTTCTGAGCTCACCAATGAGAAAAGGTCAAAGAGTCTCAGTATTCAGAAGGGGTTCAGCGTTAAGACTACTCCTCTCTATTTAAAGTAGCCTAAAAAAGTGAGAAAAGCTTTGAGTTTTGGTGAGGATGCTTGTAATTGAAAGCTAGCTAGTTATCTTTGACAGATGGTGACTAGGCTTTTTGAAAGAGGCCCAACAGATTCTGAAAAGACTTTAATGATATTAACACTTTTTGACTCCCTTACCATTAGCTGCTAAGTTCATCAAAGTTGTCATGTTTATCGCTACTTCCTATGAGCTAACATAGTATAACTGCTTTTAAGGAATTTGGCCTTTATTTGATCTGGATGTCATGATCTTGGCACTGATGGCTGGCCTAATTGCTCATTTCATTCACCTCCCTAAATCTGCCCTGTCTCCAATTTCCGCTCCTTTAATCCACCTGCTCCTGCTTCTAAATATGCAGCTTTGTTCCAGCTATTGGGGCCAGATTATTGATGTTGATGCCTTTGTTCATGTTCTCGTTCTCAGGGGCCAGTAAAGAGAGGGATTTTTAAGCGTTTATCTGGGGCTCGCATTGCTTCTTTTAGCCGGGCATACACTGTGCAATATTTTCAATCATTGCACGCAGCTACAGCTCACACTGTACAACAAAAAACTGCAGGGTTTAAAAGTTCACAGCTCACGATGCATGTTCTCACACTGTGCAACCCGACGCTCTGATGCAATCTACCTGCTCACACTGTACGTCTAAAAACCACGTCGGACTCAGCTCCGCAGTGAGATGGCGCTACTCGGACTCGTCTATCCGGAAGCCAAATGAGTAGAAGTGGAATATGAAGCTCACTAGAGAGATACGCGCTGCCTTGGCAATTTGTACAATATTGTGTGCTAAAAACGCCCTAAAAAGAAAAGCCGACGAAGACATGGCTGAGCAAACGTGGCTACTACGGTCAGTCAATTTGACAAGAACTCGATTTCACTCACTGCACCCCTGCCATGCGTCTGTGTTTACATCTGAGAGGAAGAAGAAGAATCCTTGTTTGTGCATGCTTCCTGAGCGATTTGCCCACGACGGCAGGCTGAATTTCAAACATGTTTGATTTTTCCTAACCTCACGATTCCTGTTCGGGAGGTGGTCGTACAGTACACAACACACGATCAGGCTGAAAGTCGGCCTGATCAAAAAATTCTTGTACGACTGGAGAATCAGCCTGAAAAGGGCAAAAAAATCATACATTGTATGCCCAGCTTTATTGATCCTGGGTCCTGTAGGGTGAGTCTATACAGCATATTTTTCCTCTGAAGAACCTTTGTATCCATGCATACATACCACGGGAGTTTGGTTCAAGGTGTTCACAAATACACACTACTACTAAATACTAAGCTGGAGCTACAGATATATACCACTCTAAATAATATTGTGTAATCACCATAGGTTTTGCCTTCCACACACACGGATATTTAAGGGATACCCACTGCTCTAGAAGCTTTATTTGATGTTTACTTTGGTTGTTGACTTTTTTCTGCTGTTATGTTCTCCATTTTCTGTCCCTCTCCTGTCATACAGCTGTGGAAGCAGATTTATTAGGAGTTACTGTATATCTTCTGCTTTCTCTATTTTTTTCTGTTTTGTTTTATTTTCTATGTTCTATCTCATGTGCTTCTCTGTGCTTCCCTGACTTTACTTACACGTCTTTTATTTGTATATAAAAGCCAAAATTGAGATGTTGTTCATAATTACATTTCATGCTCTAAAAGATGACTAAACACAATGCAATATTATTAGTGATATTAACAAAATACCATGCTTTTTTCTTAAGAGTTCATTGAAAGTTCCCCTTCAGAGTCAGCTCACATTTCCTGAATAAGATCCCTCTTGACAGTATCCTGCTGTTTCTCTTCTGGTTGACCAACTTCTCTGCCTTTCAGTCTTTCCCAAGTCTGACCAGCATACCTCCCTGAAAGGTCAGAGCTGCTTCTTTATCTACAGCCTTTGGGTGCCACTAATACGAAACATTGGAAAACAAACTGTGTGTGGTTTGTCTTTTTCGTTGGTTTTTGCACCCTGGTGGTCTTAAATTGCCTTAAGATAAAATATATGGTGGGAGTGGTTAGTTCAAGGGATTGAAACATTAAATTTCCAGTGCCTGAATTGATAAAATTCAAAGAACATTTGTTTTTTTTTTGTTTTTTTTTTTGCATAATTTGAACCTGATCTTTGACTGTTGAAAATAAGTATAGGTATAGACCTAATAAACAAGAACAGACGGTAATTAAACACTGACATGGAATGGTCCTTTCATCTTCTCCCACTTATTCCATCAGGGTTGTGGTGTCTATCTCCGGCAATCTATGGGCAAAAGAAGTAGTACACCCTGGACATGTTGCCAGTCTGAGAACCCAAGGAGAACCCAGGCATGCACAGGGAGAACATGCAAACTCCATTAGACTCTGTGCCAGGAAACAAACCCAGAACATTATTGCTGAAAGGTAACAGTGCTAACCACTGGTCAACAGCGCTAACATCAATGTGCAGACATTGGTGTTTAACTGAAATCAAACCCGGCAAACTTGCTTGCTCCTCTGTGGCACATTCATTTGATTAACTTGGAAAAACTATTACGTGACTGTGCTTACCTCTTCTTTAAAAGATAACATTTCTTACACATACCAGTTATTATGTTATATAGACTGCTTCCTCCATCAAAATGTTGTTGATGATTCACGTATATAAAAAATAAGATATAACAGGATTTTGAATATTCTTTTTAGACTCGAATATCGCTACTTAAGTTAAAGTCGCTAATGATATTCTCATGGCCCCAGATAATAGAGTTGTGTCTGTATTTGTCCTGTTATATCTTAGTTCTGCATTTGATACGGATGATAATAATAGTCTTTCAGAAAGGCTTGAACATTTTGTTAGAATTATGGGAACTGCTCTAGGCCAGGTTAAATCTTATTTATCTGACAGATTACAGTATGTTTGGCTGATGATCCTCAGCTATATTTGTCTGTAAATCCAGATGAAGCTAATCCATTACATAGATTACAGGCATGTCTTGAAGACATAAAAACCTCGAAGACTTTTAACTTCCTAGTCCTGAATGCAGACAAAACAGACATTATAGTCCTTGGACCAGTCTTTAAAAGAGAAGCTGATTAGTCAGTTACTTAATTTGGATAATAAATGAGTCGATGCAATCAACTGGTTTTCCTTAGATACAAAACTTTAAATCAATTTGACTGTATGATCTGGTCAACTGTATAGTGCCTTGAGATGATGTGTGTTGTGAATTGGTGCTATATAAATAAACTGAATTGAATTAAATAAAAAAAATCTTTGTTGTTTGTGATCAGGGTCAGTCATTTAAATCCCATATCAAAGAGGTTTGTAGGATTTCCTTCTTTCTTTTTCCAGATATCCTGTCCAGGGGTTATGTTGAGAAACTAGTCCATGCATTTCTTACTTCAAGGCTGGACTATTGTTGTTATTTACTATCTGGAAGTCCACAAACTGTAGTTAAAAGCCTTCAGGTGATAGAAAATGCTGCAGCAAGAGACATGATGAAAATGTAAAAAAAGTAATCACATTCTCCTATCTTATCTTATTACCATTGTCTTCTTGCTAAATCCAGAAGAGAATTTAAAATGCTCCCTCTCACATATAAAGCCATAAAAATGGCCAAGCTCCATCTTATATCAGAGATCTGATTGTTCCTTGTGTTCCTAACAGAGCACTTTGCTCTCAATCTTCAGGTTTACTAGTGGTTCCTTGAATTTCTAAAAATAGAATGGGAGGCAGATCTTTTAGTTATCAGGCTCCTGTCCTGTGGAACCAACTACCAGTTTTAGTCCATGAGGGAAACTCCCTGTCTACTTTTAAAGTTAGGCTTAAAATGTTTTTGACAAAGCTTATAGAGCGGCTCAGGTTATCCTGAGCTATCTCTATAGTTATCTTGCTGTAGGCTTAGACTGAGGGACATAGGGACCCCTTTTCCATCATTTTGCTTCATTCTATTTCTATTCTGCAGTATTTGTTAGTTCATCCTCCAACTTAATGCTCTCT